CGCGAGCGTCTCGAGTACCAGCGAATGCTTGAAGAGGCCACGGGCAGATTTGGCGCAGAGGATTCGCCGGCGCTGCCACCGACGATGCCGGAGAATGTGGCTCTGATGGGAGAGTATATCGAACCGGCGCCTCGATACTACATCAATCCTAACGACCAATGAGCGCGGGCGGCTGCCTGCTTCCTCCCTCCGCTCTCTCCCAAGAATATACTCACTGTGCTTCCAGTTCTCCTTCAGTGCTTTGTTTTACTACTTTTCATCTTTTCATTCGTTGTTTTTGTCTTTTTTTCTATTTTTGCATTTAGGGGAAATGCGGCACCATTTTGGAATTCTAGGACGAAATTATTCTTGCTACTTTTCCCTTCTGTCCCCTGGCCCAAATCTTGGGCACGTCGCACTTCAAAATCCGGGGCTGCGACCCCATACTCACCCGCATATAATCAGCATACACGCACAACCCACGTAATAACCCATCTTCATGCTAAGTCTTTGCTCTCGTGATTGGTTTCCACGTACTCTTCTTTTCTGATTGGTTCCAGTGAATCTGGGGGGAGGGGGAAGGCAGCTGTAGACGTGGTGCATGCGTATGAATATGCACTCCGGCAAAAGTAGTATTTGGTTCTTGGAAATAATACAAAATCAATTGTGCCTCCCCTGGAAGTTGATCTGTGTTTAGTTTTTTGTGGCCCCGAAAAAGGGGATGCTTCTGGTTTATATGCCGCACAAGTAGTTTCAGATATGATTTTGTACCTGTTCGTAATAAAGAAGAAGAGAGACAGTTCGGGACATTTTTGGCAAAGGCGAAGGGTTTACAACGGCTAATCGTTCTCGACAATAGCCGGGTCTATACTTCTAATCCTTCCAAAATCATTCAAGTTATTTCATCCATCCAGTATGGGTGGGAAGCAGATGCCCGCCATGTTGCATGAGAGTACAGTGCTCAAGGGATATTAAGATAGGAGTGTGACCAATATCATTGATTCGTTCTGAATAATAAAAGATAGCATTCAACCCCTGGTGGAATTTACTAAAGCTCGGTTTTTTCGAAGCAGAACCTTAGGCCAATCAAACAGTTGGCAGGACTGACTTTATAGGCTTTAAATCCCGTCGGTTTTTTATTAAAAACTACTTTGACATTTTCAGTAGGCCAACTTTCCCTTTTTCGTTAAATTCCACCAACAGGAGGTCAAATTTCCATTTTCGGTAAATTCCGCCAACGTAAAGTCGAATTTCCCTCAATTGGCACCCGTATCTTCCGCAAACGGAGTTCATGCTGATGGAATTTTATTATATTTTAGTATATTAAAACAAACATCACCTCATTAAGTTTAATATTTTTGACCACTTCCGCCAAAATTAAATATTCATTTACACTCACTAGCTAAGAATTAATTTTTTGACCACAAAAGGCGTTAGACAATTGGGCGGGGAATAGATTTTTAGATGTACCTACAAGTTAGTTTTGCCGCAAACATAGATAGAGAAGAAAAATCCAAAATGGGTCGTTTACATCATTGCAAGCGAAAAATCGACACCCGCCAGTTAGTGAACAATATAAAACATAAATGACTACTCATTTATTACAAGTAGCAGAATAGCATGTATTTAGCATGCTTGTCTAGGTTAGCGTGGAGCCGGTAAGTGAGAACCTTGATACATGTCCAGTTTGTTATTGAGTGAGTTCACACATACAGAGAGAAGAACATCTTCGAGCAGAGCGTTCTACCCTGCAAGCGCTCTGCTACTGGAGGAAAATTGGCGCCCATCGACTCTTACTTTACCTGGACGTAGTTTTAGGGAATGACCGCGCAGAATGTGCTTATTAGCCTGAGTGAAGAACCCATAAGAAACAAACAAACAGTCCAGGTTATCCATAATGCGGGAGATTAATATGTGATCCATCTCGTAGTTGCTTATAGGAAAGGGAACATAAGTTTAGGATCGACAGTCTGCTTTAACGTTCGCAGACCTTTGGTCATTCTTGTCGCCCGCCTCTGCACCCACGCTAAGACGGTACAGTCCAAGGTCTGCATGCCGGGGCTCAGGTGTACTAAAGCAAGTACAAACCGAAGCAGAAAATTAGGCCAATCAATCAGCGCATTAAAGTGTTATAACTTAACAGTTCAACTGTCGTTACCGAAAATGTCCACCGCGTTCCCCGCAAC